GAAGCTGGACCCAAAACTGCACTCTCATTAAACTTGAAGTGGTTCAGTGTCTGTACTGCTTCTTGGTGGGGGCAGGGACCTCAGCTCAGGGCCTTGGCTGGGGGAGACCAGCGGAGCTGGCCCTGCTGGATTGTGAGGAGCCCAGGGAGTGGGAAGGTGAGTGGCAGTGGCTGTGTCAGCACCCCAGGAGGTACCTCCGAGGGGTTGTCTGTAACCACATCCCGTCACAGTTACCATCACCCTTACCAGGTGATGCTTTCCAGATAATGGTTAACCAGTTCCTTAGGGAGCAGCCCTCATGTCCCAATGTGGGGGCTGGGAGCCAGCAGAGCCGGTGCCTGTGAGCCCCAGCATGAGTGCTGGGAGCCAGCAGCCAGCCTCAGTATGGGGGCTGGGAGCAGGAGCCCTGCAGGCTCCTCTAGTCAGTTAACTGATTAAATGTTAGGTCAACCCAACATTTAGCAGGTTAAGTGATTAGCCAGGATTTTACATCCCTATTTCATAATGAGTGGTTCTACTCTGATCTGGTCAAGCTATATTCTTTGTACTCAGTCCACTTAGCCATTTTTCAATTCAGATCTCGGTCTGAAAGTTCTCCCAGTTTTCTGCAGTATTACCTGATAATTGCAGACTGGATGGAGGTTGCACCACATTTATTTGTAGGTTTTTTCTCCACCTTTTTAGGCTAATCAAGCTATTAGTGCACTTGCCAAATACATGCAGAAGCCTCTGTGCCTGGTGTTTCTCTGGTGCCTCTCTTCGTCTCTGCTTTCAGTTGCAAACATGTGTTAACTTCAAAATGACTGAAGTTTCCTTTTCCTTGAGCACCAACCCCATACAATGATCTTGGGGTTCATTAAATAACAAACCAGTGAAAGAGAAAGGACTATAACTTTAATAAAACAAATTGGATAGCATCTTTGGTGAACTGTTGCACACAGCCATGTGGTGTGCTCTGAAGGCATGGCCAGATTTCCAATTAGGCACAGTAAGCATGTGCCTCTGGGCAATGAACATTCTAGGGGAGCGCTGGGCAAAACACAGCCTGGGACCACCATGTTGCCAGATCCAGCCTGTGGATGCAGTGAGGAGCCTCAGACAAGCTCCCTGACTGCCCCACATGCTGCAGCTGCCAGGCGCTAATTGTCTTTGAACAGCTTTGAGCCCAGGAGGAGGGCAGAAAAGCTTTGCATGCTATCCCCGCCCCAGCATAATCCCATTGGCCAGTTTCTAGCCAATTATAGCTGCCTGCTTGAAGAACAGGCACCATGCAAAGTACCCTTCGCCCTTCCCAAAGGCTATTCACAGACATGCATGGCCCCTGCAGATGTGCAGGGGCAGGAAGCCTGCCTGAGAAACATGCTAGGTCGGAGTCACCCACGGAAGTCTCCCAGCCACATCCTGCCTCTGGCACCCCAGCCCCTCCATCCCGCAACTCCTCCCTACCCAACATAGCCCAAACTCTGTTCCCCTCCTGCACCTATACCCCCTCCCACACCTGCTCTCCAGTCCCCTGCCCCAGGTCACAACTCCCCCCTTGATCCAGCTCCCTCCCAGACCCCACATCCACTCTTGCACCTGTATTCCTTACCTCAAGCTCCCTTCTTCCCCCAGCCTCCATCCCAGACCCTGCATCACAATTACTATGGAAAAGTGCAGCTCTTGACCACTTTCCAGATTCTTGGAGTAGCCCCTTATGAAAAATAAATTGTCCACTCCTGTTCTAGGGGCACCTAAAAGTTAAAAGTTACATTTTTAAGCAAAATATGAATATTAATTGTAGGCAGAGGGGGCATTAAAGGTATTGAACGTCAGGACACCTAAAGCATAAATCCAGCCCTGCTTGAAGATGGGAACATATCCCAACTCCTAGGTTCACAATACTATCCCTTATAGGGATGTAAAATCCTGTTTAATCAGTTAACTGGTTAAATGTTATGTTTAGCCAGTTAACAGCTTAAATGGGAGCAGGCAGAGGGTGAGGGTTAACCATTGACATCCCTAGTGCCTTATGGAGGATGCCTCTTTAAATTATAATCCATCAAAACATCTCTATATAGACCAGGAAGAGGAAGTGGAGGAGGAGAGAACCAAGAAATAAAGTGTTGTCTCCACATTGGGAATGTCTGTAGCTACTCTTAGCCGATTTGTTTTTGTAGTTAGGAAAGGATGAGTTCAAAATTGTGAAAAAATCACTTGGCCTTTGTAATGGACATTGACATTATCCAATACAAAATTTTCCATAGTAGACAAAAGCATTTTTCTAACTTGCTACTACATTCCTTCCACTAAAATGCAACAACAGCAAGCCTCAATTTGTGACTTATGGAGGTCCTATGCACAGCTGGATTCCAAAAGACATAACAGCTATGATCATATTTAAAAACCGTTATTGTTTAATCCTCACAGTAATTGTGAGATGTACACATATTGCTATCTTCTGGGTAACACTTTTAAGTGACATTTCTTGTTACTACAAGAATGAGAAGTCCTGTGGCACCTTATAGACTAACACATATATTGGAGCATAGCTTAGCCCTTTTTCAGTTCCTATGGAGATATTACAGTATACGGGTGTTCATTTCATATTACAAATATTATTGTATATCTAAAAGCATGTAGCTCTGGCATTATTAGTTTGACTCTTGTGCTGACCAATTACCTGAGAGTCTCATTGTGGCAGTCAGCAGAGTTTTAACTATGTATCATGAAAATAAAAGCCTTTAATATACATGATATAGTAATATTGTGTCCATAATGAAGAATGATACATCTGCCAGCTCATGTAGACTGTCAAAATATTTGTGTGTTCCTATTCTTATTCCTTCAGGAAGCGTCAGGGGGTAGCGAAGTTAGTCTATAAAGTGCTACTGGATCATTTGTTGTTTTTTAAATTTAGACCGGTCATCTGAAGAAGTGGGCTGTGCCTACAAAAGCTCATGATACCATCTACATGTTTTGTTAGTCTATAAAGTGCTACCAGACCATTTGTTGGTTTTTAAGTTTATCTTATTCCTTCAGTAACTGCTAAATCCATAAGCTCAAACATGCACCTGGTTAAAGCTCAGTTTTTATAATTTTTAACTTTGAGGCTTGTATTTGGCATTAGACTCAGATTTAAGGTCCACTGGAAGCATAATGTGCTATCTCAATCTGCCATAAATACAGATTGAACCTCTCTAGACCAGCACCCTCGGGACCTGACTAGTTCCGAACAAGATAATTTTCTGGACCATGACAGGTCAATATTGTCCAGAAGGTTTGCCAATACTTCCACTGCTTACTGAGCTCTTCAAAGACATTTAGTGGTAAATAATGCATCCATGAAAAGTGGACTTCCGGCTAACTAAAATCATTCTGGATGACACATGTTTCTGGATGAGAGAGTTCTTGATTAGAGAAGTTCAACCTGTATTTATATTTCCATATCTTTCCTGAATCTCCGTTTTACTATTCAGTAGTTAGATTCTGAGTGAAATTGCTTAAACCCAGCCAAAATTGTGAGATTTTGCAGAAAAAGTTACATCTTAGTGAGATAGGTGTCTATAATTATTTCTCATGTCTAAGAAGTGTTTCTTATAAAGCTGTGTATTTTAAATTAAAAAAAAACTTGAGCACACTTTCAAAAATGTTCTTACTAGGGTTTTCATTCAGTGAGAAAAACTTTTTATCTGGTTAGAGTTTCAAATGTAGGTGTGCATATGGCAGACCCAATAATCTATTACAGGGGTGGGAAACCTAAAGCCCAGGGGCAGAATCCGGCCTCCAGCTTGCCGGGATTCAGCCCGAGGCTCAGCGCTTCGCCCACCCCCAGCATTGGGGAGCCCTTACTGGTGCTCCAGCCCCATGACCACCCACCATGGGGACAGGAACCCCAAACCTCAAGGGACCAGAGTCAGGCAAGCCAGAGCCAGTTCTGATCTATGGACTCTGCCTGGTGGCAGGAGGAAGTTTGCTTGTGTTTGCCACGCCCTGTCCCCTTGGCCAGCACAGTGAAGTGTTGCCTGGAGGCTTCCCCGCCCCCCACAAAATTTATTAGCCCAGGCCCAGCTAGGCTCTGCTGTGTGAGGGGAATGTGGGAAGTGTCTTCTTCTCAGTCAGGGGACATGTCAGTGAGATGGATTTTTCTTTTTGGCACTTCTCACTTCTGTGCAGCTTCCAGTTGATTATTCTGTGGGTCAGTGGCCCTCAATCCATAAAAGGCTTCTCACCTCTGCTCTATTGAATAAATTATCTTCACCGTCTGAACTTTTATTACTGATACAAAGTAGTTTGAAAGACATAACATCCTTTGTTCCACATCCTCAGATTGGATAAAATAATTTACTTCAGTTCTCCTATGAATTCATGCAAACAGAATAAAGCAACAGGTGTCATGCACATTCCTATTTTCAACACTTTCAAATTCTAGAGTATCTTTATGTATCCCAACACTAGAAACCATCCTCTTAATAAAGAGCTGGATATTCTCCTCTTGAAATCAACCAATATTTCTCCACATCCACCAGAGGCGCATACTTACGGTACAAGCCAAGGTGTTTGTTTCTCTGATAGCTGAGCATGCTCTCTTAACAATACTCCCAAATCCCTACATGGCTGAAGTGAAACAGTAAGCTTAAGATGACTTGGCAGGCAAATAGGCTGCCAGATTGCCAAAAGGATTGTGGGCTGAGGTGTTTCATATTCTGTCTGAATAATCAGTATAGGTAGATCTTCCCATACTAAAACCCCATAATGTTCATTGAAATAATATTAAGCTATCCATATTAAAACCAGAGTCTATGTGGAAATCCAATCTTTGATGACAAAGGTTGAATTCAGGCTCTTACATGGCAATGAATAAAAATAAATAAATAAAATTAAATCACCACGGAATACCAATTTAACTGCCAACATACAACCTCAAGACAATCTTGGGTATTACATTTTAGTTTGAAGTAGACAATGTTGCATTAACATAGTGAAACTACATAAACTAATTTAAACAAAAAAGTACTTACATTCTGCATACTTCTGAAGTTGAGAAAATTCTGTAGGACTGAGGTTAACCCACTTCTCCCGGTTCATCATAATGGTGATAATGCTTCTTATTAAATATCAGGAAAATAGACCATTTGACCCATGCGTTAGCCACTTGTAAACTCCATGTAGTTTGGTAGTTTCAATTCACAGTGCTTAGAGTTTATGAGACACAGAATCAGTCTACATGAAATGTTTGATGGTGTAAACTGTTATGAATGTATGGCTTCAACGACGAATTACAGCACTGTTAAAAGAAGAGGTGAAAATAATTAAAATGTGCATACCACATACAAAATAGGTACAAGTTTTACTAATAATGATGAGATTACTAGTTAAAATATATTAATATATTCTAAAATTACTAATAGTTCTATTTGTATTTCCAAATATTTTTCATTTGCTATGTAAAGCATAGAATCATAGAATACTAGGACTAGAAGAGACCTCAAGAGGTCATCAAGTCCAGTCCCCTGCCTTCATGGCAGGACCCAGTACTGTCTAAACCATCCCTGATAGACATTTATCTAACCTACTCTTACATATCTCCACAGATGAAGATTCCACAACCTCCTTAGGCAATTTATTGATGTTAATTGATTTTAAAAATTACTATAATAATTAGAGCTTCATTAGATGCCACCCCTAAAAACAATACTTAGCATAAACAGTTATAGTACCATGGTTCAATTCAGGCAACAGGATTAAACTAGTGCCCTGACTCAATCCAAATGTATGCAATTTTTAGCCACAGACAGGATAACATCCTTACTAATGGGGAGGAGAACAACTTACAGTATTACGCTTTATACCAGTTGGGTAACAGTAGTACTACTTGGGAGTGTCAGTCTAAGGGTATGTCTACACTACCCCGCTAGTTCGAACTAGCAGGGGTAATGTAGTCATCCACAATTGCAAATGAAGCCCCATTCCACAAGGAGTACAGCTAGTTCGGATTAGAAGCCTAATCCGAACTAGCTACTCCGTGCCGCGTGTAGCCGCGCGGCACGGGGTTCGAACTAGCTGGCATTTAAAAATGGCGCCAGCCGGCTTTATGCAAATGAAGCCTGGGAAATTCAAATTCCGGGCTTCATTTGCAATTGCGGATGACTACATTACCCCTGTTAGTTCAAACTAGCGGGGTAGTATAGACATACCCTAAGATAATACTGAACATAGAATTCAGACAAGAAATTACCAGTCCTTCCCTTCAATCATGGGAAAAAAAGAAGAGGTCAGTGGCTAGAGAGGAAGAAGAGGAAACTGAAAGGGATTACATGAATATCTGATCACACTTACTGCTTATCTATCTTGCAAAGTTAAGATGATATAAAACAGCTTACGTCGACCTAACTACAAAAGCGTACACTCTACACTGTTCCTCCCACCACTTTAACTTGCCTGCTAAACTGGCTTATCCGCTCAAGGAGAGGGCTAGAGATTAGGGTGACACTGTGTCAACAGAGACACTACGTTGCTTATGTCTTCCTAAGTGACCTACAGGAGATATTCCATAATGCCAATAGAGCCTGCTCTCATCACCTATTTCCTGGCACCCAGGTATACAGGTAGGTGCCCCTGTCTTTTAAATTCCTGGAAAATTTTGAAATTGCTCAGTCCTGTTTTCTTGGTGTGGAGAACTCACAGGGCAAGCTCAGGTGAGCAGTATCTGGCAGTATGCAACAATCACATTCTTGACTAGAGTAAACGGGGTGGGGGTGGATCTCCCAAGTTTGTGGACACAGCTCCACTCCAGCTGCAGGAATGTGCTCGAGGCATGGAACAGAGGGACCATGATAAGGAAAAACAGCAGTTTTCCAGAGAATGTTGTGAAGACCAGGACTTTAACAGGGTTCAAAAAAGAACTAAATAAATTCACAGAAGATAGGTCCATCAATGGCTATTACCCAGGATGGGCAGTGTGACAAAGCTCCTACAGAAACTCAGTGGGTCCTGTGCTTCCTGGTGGACTTGCTTGCCTCAGAGCTCACAGCAGCCCATAATTTTAGGCACCACACCTAGGGCTTTAGTTTGTTGTTCATTGAGCTCTTTTCATCATCAGCCAGCGTACTGTAAAATGGAAAATAAACTCCACAGTCCTTTTCCCTGCACAGAAATGGGGAGGTGGGTGTTGGGGGTAACCCGGGCCCATCCTCTACTCTGGGTTCCAGCCTAGGACCCTGTAATAGTAGTTGCCAGTGTGAATCCTCAACACCTGCTATATAAGACAGCTCCAAGACTGCTGCGCTACTTTCCCGCACCTTCCTTCTCTCTGGTTCATCCTCCTAGTGTTCAGTTGTTGTTTCTTTTGCTCCTACTCCTAGAGGTGCTTTCCTCCATCCTCTCAGCTAATGCATGTTCTAACTGCAGGCAAAGCTTCTTTTAGAGCCAGTCTGAACTGGTTTTCTTAATTACCCCAGGTGCCCTAATTAGCCTCTGCTGGCCTGACTCTGCAGGCCTAGTCAATTAGCCCCAGGTGTTTCACTGTCCCTGATTGCCTCTGCTGGTTTTAAGCCAGCCTCTCCCTTTTATTCTGGGAGCAAGGATCTCCCCAGTCTGAGGCTTATATACCTCCCCTCCACTACTTTTTTATAGCCTTCTGCTCTAACTCTATCATAGTAGGAATGGTTCCCATAGCCCCTGGTTTGTCAGAAGCTGAGAATGGGTGATGGGGAGGGATCACTTGATGATCACCTGTTCTGTTCATTCCCTCTGGGGCACCTGGCATTGCCTTTGGTCTGACCCTACAATGGTCATTCTTATATTCAATACCATGTAAAAAATATCAAAGAGCTACAGCAGGCATAGTAGAAAGCAAGGGTGGCAAAGAGTCATGCCAATGAGGAGCTGCAGATAAGCTGCTTCTACAAGAAGGGGGCAGGGTTGGGAGATGGTATATGGAACAAGAGCTTTGGGGAATGGAGGAGGCTGGTGTCCGGGTGGTGGAATACAGGTGGGAGATGAGAAGCAGTGAGGCTGCTG